TTCTAGGTTTTACATTCTGCTTGCCAAGTGTTCAATAGAGCTCTCCAACTGATTTCTTCAATTCATGGGTTTAGGTATTTACACATTATTTACACACGAAAGACGCAATGGAAAAAAACATGAGAATATTGCAACATGTGCGCATTTGGAGTTTTATGTGTTATAATTCGATGACGAAAATCTTTAGATCTAAATGACAGATTATGGAATGATTGGGCTCAAGCTAATCGAGAGAATTTTCTGAAAATAATGACGTGCCATTTTCCATGATCTATGCATGTTTCATGAAGTTAAGAATAAAAGCGCAAAGTGAAACTACAGTTATTTGTCCCGCTGCGCCTGAAGCGCACCAAGTGGGTTTTATGTGTTATAGCATTATGAGCAATATCTTTGGATCTCATCGACGGATTATGGGAACTCACATGGGTTTGGGCTCCTTTTAATCGGGAGAATTTTCTGAAAATAATGACGTGCGGGTTTTCAAGATCTATGCATGTTTCATGAAGTTATGAATAAAAATGCAACGTGAAGCATAGAGCTGTTTTTCTTTGCAGCGCCTCAGTGCGCCTGTCTGCTTTCATGTGTTACAGCTCTATGAACGAACTCTTTCAATCTGATCGACGGATTATGGTAAATTTGGGCTCTTTTTAATTGGGAGAATTTTTTGAATATAATGTTTTGCGGTTTTTCAAGATCTATACATGTTTGGTGAAGTTACAAGCTAAAACGCCACAGGACTGCAACCTCTGATTTTTTTGCTAAGCTACATGACCCAATTCTTTTCTATGTGTTAATAGCTTTATGAGAGATATCTTTAGATCGGAGCAATGGATTATAGTGAGTTTGGGCTCTTTTTAATCAGGAGAATTTTCTGCAAATAATGACCTGTCATTTTCTATGATATATGCATGTTTCATGAAGTTACGAGCGAAATTGCCACATGACAGCTACCTTAGATTTTTTGGCTAAACTACATGCTGCCTGTGCAGTTTTATGTGTGTTATAAATTCTTGAGGAAAATCTTTAGATATAAATGGCAGATTATAGTGATTTGGGTCTCATTTTAATCAGGATAATCTGATCTGATCATGTTTTATGAAGTTACAAGTAAAATGGTGACATCAATATATTATTTTCATATGGGTCTGGAGGTGACTTCTTGTACAAAAACTCGCTCCAGTTTATTCAAAGCCCCAAACAATTATGCCTGTTTTATTCTACTCAATGAGACCTTTCAAATGACATATTATACATGACTATCCGAGCTGTATGATATTTTTGACATATTAGAGTACATGGCACAAAAAAAAAACATATTTTGTAAATTATTAGGCATGCACCGAATAGTCGGCAACCGAAATTATTCGGCCGAAAATAGCAAAAAAAATCTCTTTCGGTGTTCGGCTGAATAAGCGAAAAGGACAAATAATATGAACCGAACAATGACGAACGTGATCAAATAGAGGCACGCGCTAATGCAGCAAACATGTCAGCAGTGTGAAAGTATTTAAAACTATCAGAGAAAGACGCAGAAATCATTACAAGCATGAAGCACCGACAGCGAGAGACTTAGTTCTGCATCAAGTCTCCGATGAGAAGAAGAGGTGGCTAATGCTGGTGGTTAGGTTACTGTATGATGATTGAAATCGCGAAATTACCTCAAACGATTAGTAAATAAACTACAAAATGTTATATTTTCTAATGCACGCACGAATTGCATGTATTCTGACAGCGCTAAAACCGTGTTACTCATCAGTTGCTCAGTAACATTTTTGTGAATTTTTTTAAAGGCACGTGACAATGTGATACGTGCGACAAACATCTTCCCAAATTCGTAATGAGAAGCATGTATAAATTTGCATGCTGTTGTCAACAAAAAGAAGCACTGAGATCTTCCTGCGGGTTTCTGCCAAAATAAAAGCCGAGAAAAAGCAACAACTCCATCGACATTCATAAATGATAGTATTGTAATTTTACTGTCATTATGTAAAATAAAATAAAAAATACAATAATAATAAAGACAATAATAATGATAATAATAATTACCCTACAACAGCTCTGTTAATACATTTATTATAACATTCACACATAG